AAGCAGCAGAAGTCCTTCCTAAAGTTACTTATTTAAATTCAGTTTTGAGTTATGAAGCTGCTTCAAAAAGTTTAGAAATTGAAGAACTTTTTGAAGAATTGCATGGCCTCATGAGATTAACACAGTCATGAGATTAAGACAGAATGAACCGTACATTGATTGTATTTAGAATGAAAAATAATTTTTCATCAATCTCCTCCCCCCTTAGTCCGAAAAAATTTCAAAGTTCATTTATAAACGTCACGTAGTCCCGCAGGTACGTAGGACGCCTCAGCACCCTAGTTGACCTGCGCAGTCTCACTTCTTCCTCGTCCCCGCCCTGGACGGACGGGGCTCCTCCGTCTTCTGGTTCCTTCCCCGGAACCGGGCTCGGTTCGGCTGGCGAGTGTGCGGGGTCACCCTCAGCGCCTCCGGCTGGACCGCAGACCCTGGATGGCTGGTTCTGGTGGTCTTCCTCCTGGCCTGTGGATCTCTCGCCTCGTTGATGCTGCTCGGTTCCGACCCGGGAAGAGCGTCTGAGTCTTGGTAAGTCACCGGCTGTCACTTGCTCTTCCCCGGTCTCCCGGGCGCTGCGGTTCGGTCGCGGTTCGGCTCGTTGTTGCCTGGTGGGTGGTTCGGATCGGTGCCCTCGGGTCCGGTCTGCCAGCTGTGGATGGTGTTGGTTCGGGTTGTGGTGTCCGACCTCGCAGGGGTGGCGCAGGTCTCCTTGGCCGGGCTGGTGTTGGCCTCCCCCGTCAGGTCGGTAGTGATCGCCCTGGTCGGGCTGTCGTTGCGGGGCTACCTCCGCGGGTTGGTGGAGGTCTCCCCTGTTGGGGTGGCGCAGGCCTCCCTGGCCGGGTTGTTGTCGGCTTTCCCTTCGCCCTAGTCCCTGGTCTACCGCAGGTTGGTGGCTGGGGTCATCTGGGCTGGGTTGTTGTTGTTGCCGGGTTGTCTTCTGTGCTGGACGGGGGTCCCTCTCGCCGGGGAGTCGTGTGCCACCCTTGCCCATGGGCTGCGGTGTGCCCATCTCCGATGGTCCCCGGTCTACTCGCCTGGAGTGGAGGTCTCCCTGGCAGGGCTGACGTGGGTTGCCTTCGCTGGCGGGGTGTGGTGCTTCCCCTCTGGGCAGGTCCCGGTCTACTCGTGTGCTGTGATGGCGGTCTCTCGCCCTGTCGTGCCGGGTGCCCACCTCGCTGGGTTGGTGTTGCCACCCTCCATTCGGCTGACCCCGGTCTACCGCTCTGGACTGCCGCTGTGTCAGCGCCTGGTAGTGTGCTTGGCCGGCCTCGTCGGGGTGGTGGTGGTCTGCCTCGCCGGGGTGTGGTAGGCCTACCTTGTCGGGGTGTCGTAGGCCTACCTCGCCGGGGTGTTGCAGGCCTACCTCATCGGGGTGTTGTAGGCCTCCCTCGTCAGGCTGGTTTTCTTGCACTCCCCCCCACCTTTTCCGGAGCTGGTCGATGTGACGTCTACAGACCTGTCCATCTTCCAGCTCCACGGTGTAGGATCTTGGGCCGGTTGTGCTGTCTATCTTCCCCTTCAGCCACTTAGGAGAGCCGTGGAAATTCAGCGCGAAAATCGAATCTCCTTTGCTGAAGGCGCGAAGCGGGCGGCTGGCCGTTGCGGTCACTTCTGGGCTGTATTGTGGGTGCAGCCGGTCCAATGGTGACCTCAACCTTCTGCCCATCAACAGTTCGGCCGGGCTCTTGTGGGTGGTGGCATGCGGCGTGATGTGCTGGGTGAGGAGGAAGTTGTCTATTCTTTCCTGCCAGTCGCCCGTGCCCATCTTGGTGAGTGCCTCCTTGGTGAGCCTCACCATCCGTTCCGCTTGTCCGTTCCCAGCTGGCCTGTACGGGGCGGACAGGGCATGGCGGATGCCCAGTCCTGCCAGGAACGCCTCCATGGCCAGGGATGTGAGTTGGGGGCCGTTGTCGGAGACCAGCACATCCAGTAGGCCATGGGTGGCGAAAAGGCGGTGCAGGGCCCGGATCGTTGCTTCCGTTGTGGTAGATGCCATGGGTACCACCTCGAGCCACTTGGAGAAGGCATCTACCATGATGAGGAGGTGGCGCCCTTGCATCAGGCCCACGAAGTCGATATGTATCCTCGACCAGGGGTTGCTGGGGGTCTCCCACTTCACTGTTTCGGCTTGTGGCGGCGCTGGGTGAACTTCCTGGCACGGGTCACATCTGGAGACCCATTCTTCAATGTCTTTGTCCAGTGCGGGCCACCAGACGTAACTCCGTGCCAGGGCCTTCATGCGGACGATGCCTGGGTGCCCTTTATGCAACGTTTCTAGTGTCCGCCATTGCAGAGTGCTTGGGATCAGCACCCTGTCTCCCCATAGTAAGCAGCCCTTCATGGTGGACAGCTCCTTCTGCTTCCTGGCGAACGGGCTGAACTTCTCCTCCGTCTGTTGCGATGGCCACCCCCTGAGGATCCAGGACTTCACTTGGCGGAGTGTGGGGTCCTTCTGGGTGTGGACGGCCACATCTGCAGACGAGACTGGACAGCTGGCGTCGTCGTCTATGTGGAATAGGTGGAGCGTGGGGGCTGGGTCTTCTACAGGATCCTTCAATGGGCATCTGCTCAGCGCATCGGCGTTTCCTATGGCTGTGCCTGGCTGGTGCACGAGCCTGTAGGAGTAGCCGGCTAAGAAGATGGCCCACCTCGTCATCCGCGGGGACATGAAGGTCGGTGTGGGTTGGTCGCCTGCGAGGAGCCCCAGGAGTGGCTTGTGATCGGTGACTATGGTGAAACTCCTCCCGTAGAGATACTCGTGGAATCGTTTCACTCCTGCAACGATGGCCAGGGCTTCTTTGTCCAGCTGGCTGTAGTTGCGTTCCGCGCCAGACATGGTTTTGAGAAAAATGCTATTGGGGCTTCAGAGCCGTTGGGCAGTTCGTGGCTGAGGACTGCCCCCACCCTGTAGGGCGATGCATCGCAGGTTAGCTTAATGGGGAGCGTCTCATTGTACTGGATGAGGACGCTTTTTGAGGTTAAAAGTCCTTTCACGGCTCGGAATGCTGCTTCCTCTTCCTGGCCCCACTTCCAGGAAGCCGCTTTCCCCAGCAGGCGGTGGAGTGGCTCAGCAACTGTGGCTTTCTGTTTAAGAAAGATTGCATAAAAGTTGAGCAACCCAAGGAATGCCTGAAGTTCCGTTTTGTTTTTGGGGCTCGGAGCTTCATGGATTGCCTTCACTTTAGATTTGGTGGGGTGGATGCCAGTGCTATCAATGAGATAGCCCAGGAACTCGACTTCCTGTACTCCTAGGATGCACTTATCTCTCCTGACTCTCAAGCCCTTGGCCTTGAAGCGCTGCAGGACAAGCCTGAGCCTGTCAAGGAGTTGTGCCTGTGAGTCTCCGGAGATCAGCACATCATCAAAGTATGGCACCACCCCTGGAACGCCTTGGAGGAGGCGTTCCATCATTGATTGGAAGATGCCGGGGGCAGCGCTGACTCCAAACTGGAGACGGTTGCATTTGAATGCCCCCCTGTGTGTGACTATGGTTTGGGCCTCCGCCGTTTTTTCGTCCACTGGCAGTTGCTGGTAAGCCTGGGCCAGGTCCAGTTTTGCAAAAATTGTGCCAGTTCCCAGGGAATGCAACAGGTGCTGCACTACTGGGACTGGGTATGCGCTCTGTGCCAACGCCTTGTTGATGGTACAACGATAGTCGGCGCAGATGCGCACAGACCCATCATGCTTCAGTGGGGTCACAATGGGGGTCTCCCATGAAGCATGATCGATCAGTTCCAGGATGCCCTGGGCGATCAGCTTATCCAGCTGCTCGTCTACTTTAGGCCGCAGGGCAAATGGAACCCGGCGGGGCTTCAGCCTAATTGGGGTGATTCCCTTGTCCAGATTAAAAGAGATTGGCCTCCCCACAAATTTCCCCAGCTTACCATCGAAGACTTCCTTGAACTCTTCGATGAGGTTGTCAAGTTCGTCCCTGCGAATTTGGTTGATGCCTTCGATTGAAAGCCCCAGCGGCTTAAACCACTCCACTCCTAGCAGGTTCGGTCGGCTGTCCTTCACAACGGTGATGGGGAGCTTGCCTTTGAACTCGTTGTAGGCGACTCGGATGTTGGCTCTTCCTAACACTCCGATGGGGTTGCCCCCAAAGTCGACGAGCTTGGAGTGTAATGGCTTCAGGTCACGCTTGGTGATGCTGGGTTGCAGGCGCTTCAGTTGTTGCCAGTCCATGATGGAGTAGACCGAGCCCGAGTCTACCTCCATTTCGCAGGGTGCTCCCTCCACGTGGATGGTCACGTGGAACTTGGTGGCATTGTGTGAGTCCGTGTGTGCGATGGTCGTCTGGTGGACCGCTCCGCTCCGGGGAAAATCATCGTCTCTGCGTCTGGATGGGCCAGAGGACCGTTTGGATGATCTCTGGTAATCCTTCCGATTCTCGCGGGGACGGTGGCTGGGTGGCTCTGTGGCTGGTTCCTCGGCTCTGCAAGCTTCGGCGATGTGACCCCTTCTGTTGCAGCGTCGGCAGGTCGCATCTCTCCACTTGCAGGTCGCCCTGGCATGGTCCCCTCTGCAGCTGGCACAGCGCTCCCCCTTGTAGCTTCGTTGGGCGGCTTCCCGCCTTGGGGGTCTGGATACCTTGTGTACGGTGGACTCCACCTCCGACTCGGATCCAGCTGTGGAATCCTCGGTTGATGATTGCTGTGATGAGCGAATCTTGTGGATTCCCTTAGCTCTGCTTACTGCGGCAGCCGCTTTCTCTGAGATTTCGGATGCGGTGGCTTCCTCCACCACATCCTTGAGCACGAGTTTCTTCCTGCTCAGGAATTTCTTTTGCAGGCCTCTGTCCCTCATGCCGAAAACCACACGGTCAGCGATGGCGTTGTCCACATGGTCGAACTCGCAGCTGGCTGCGATCTGGCGCAGGGCAGCCACGAATTCTTTGATGGTCTCACCTTCCTTTTGGTCCCTCTGATGGAAGGTGAAACGGTTCGCCACTGGTGTTCCAGTTGGGGCATAGTATTCTTCCAGGATCTGCAGCAGATCCGTCCATGGCACTTCTTCGATGTCTCGTGGTGCTACGAGATCGATTGCCATATCCAGGACTTCGGAGCCGCAGTTGGCCAGGAAGATGCCCTTTTTCCGGTCATCATCGGCATCCCTGATGTTGTTGCCTCTCAGGTATTGCCGGAATTTGACCACGTAGGATTTCCACTTGTCCTTCCCTGGGCGGAATGGAGCAAGGGCTGGCAAAGTGACTTCAGCGGATGTCATGCCTTCGGGAATGCCTACTGTGGTTTCAGGTGCCGGCGTCTTGGTCTTGTTGGCTTGGTGCCACGAGGTTCGTCTCTTTCCTCTAGTCCTTCGTCGCCAGTATCGGCTGATTTTAGGCATAAATCTTCCAATTTCAAGTTACAGTGATGAGAAATAAAACAGATCACTTAGTCCACTGAGAAGATATGAGTTCTGTTGATTAAAGAAGTTTAATTGTTACTTTCTCTTCCTTTTTTTCTTGGCCATTCTTCATTTACAAGCACAATAAATGCATCTGTACCCATAACATCTACCTTAAAGTGTTTTTCAGAAACAATTTGCTGTTAGGAAGCACTTTTTGAGGACAAAAATCAAAGTGCAAGGGATAAAATCATTGGTGCTTTCCCATTATTACCACTCATTATTCTCCTGAAAAATAATTAAAGGAAGAAAGGAAATGAGCCAAGTTGCCTGAGATTGTCCATAAACTGCTTTTTGGACCAGCCCAAGAGAGAAATTATCACACTGTTTCTTCTTTCTTATGCTGCCCTCTGACTTCATGGATTGAAATGGTTTCAGGTTTAAGCAAACCTTCAGATCCCAATAGAACAAAAAAGTAAAGAGGCAAATTACGTTTCCATTAAACCTAGATCAGAGAAAAGGAAGGTGGTTTTTGTAATGAGAAACCTATAGTAGTAGCTAGCATCTTTTCCAAAGAAGAAATGGACTCTTCAATGAAGATGCTGTTTTCTTTTCTCTTCATACTCTGCATGTTATTTGCTACTGTGAAAACAAATAGTGAGTACATGTCACTGTGATTAGCCACTTTTAATAGAGTTGTTTTTACACAAGGTAAAGGGGGAAAATTGCAAAATATTATTCATTACAATGTTTCAGTTTTATGGATGTTTGCTTTATCTTTAATATTGGATTTCAAAGGAAAGGAAATGCCTGTGCTTCTGAGAATTTTCTTGTAAAGAGGCACCCTATTTGCATTGAATCTCTTCTAGGTTAAAAAAAAAAGGTTCAAATTATTGTGTTTGCTGTTGTGATTGTCATTGTTATTGTTGCTGAACAATGTAGCTAGTCGTAATGCTCCCCTGGCTCAATTCTATACCTCCTCTAGAATCTGAAGATTTAGAACCTGAAGTGTCCCAATTATAGTAGGCAAAAGAAAAGAAAAAAGAAAAGAAAAAGTATAGCAACCTTAATTGTCTCAGAATGGATACATTTAAGAATCTAAATCAGTACATTCTGATCTAGACATTGTAGGAGGAGATCCATGTTAGTCTATGGTAACCAAAACCCAGCACCTGGTGGTACATTTTCAGATTCAGATATTTTATTAAAAGGCACAGACTTTTCTGATGTCCAACTTCTCCCAGTATAGAACTGCAGGAGGGCAGCATTGACTCCCATCACTCATTCCCACTTGAGTTTTGGTAGACAAGGTCCTTTTGCAGTCCAGCCACACTATGCATTTGACGAAGAATGTTGCGATTCATCAGAGCTTGTGCTTCTTAGTAAGATGTGATAGTCGGAAGCAGTGCGACCCGATTTCTGATTATATTCTACTCTGTAACTTATTGCTTACTGATGGTCCTCATTAACAACCATAATTGGGACTAGCAACTCCACTGCTAAGTGACACAATTGTTAAGCAAGACAACATGTGACCATGATGAACGTACAAGCTCATTTTTGCCACAGTTGTTAAGCGAATCACCCCTGGTCACTAAATCGGACATCACATGACCGTGAGTTGTGATTTTATTTCCAGCTTCTCCGTTCACCCTCCTTGTCGGCTGTGCAGTTCACTAATGATGATTACATGACTGTAGAATGCTGCAACAGATGTAAAGTCCTGCTAATTGCAATGCAACCACGGAGATGCTATGATGGTTGTAAATGTGAGGACCAATCACAAAGTTCCTTTTTCAATGCTGGCATAACTTCAAAAGATCACTAAACAGGGCGGTTGTTAAGCAAGTATTTCCTGTAGTATATTTTGATGAAAAGTGTTATATGAAATGATGCCAGGCAATTCATGCAGTGTTTATATATTTCATTTATATATTGCTTTTTTTTCCCCCTTTCCCCCCAGATTCATCAGATCAAATTATTCTTTCATCTAAGCCTAGGAAACTTTTGCCAGCTGTAATCAATTCTACAAATGGGAATCTGTCAGACATCCACCCTAAAGAAAGAAGTCCCATTCTCTTTTTAGGTGATGTTGAAACATATTTCACTAATCTATGGCTGATCCTGTTTCTCCCTGTGGTCGAGATTCTTGTGTTTGTTCTGGGTCTTCCCTTAAATGCTTTGGCGATTTATATTTTTGTGACGAAGACGAAGCTTTGGAAGCCAGCTGCAGTGTATATGCTCAATCTGGCTTTTGCAGATCTGCTTATGCTGAGCATGCTGCCTTTTAAAATCTCATACTTCTTTAGTGGACACAACTGGGTCTTTGGGCCTACTATGTGCCAATTGGCCTCTTTTACTTTCACCTGCAACATGTACTGCTCCATTCTGCTGATGACAGGGATCAGCATCGATCGTTTCTTGGCTTTGGTTTGCCCCATTAAGTCTCTGTCCTGGCGCACAGCAAGACGGGCCTCTGTGATCTGTTTTGCCATCTGGCTGCTCGCCATAGTGGGGGCGAGCCCACTGCTGGTCTTTGATCTCACCCTGTGGATACCTCAGATGAACATTACCACTTGCTTCGAGGTGCAAAACGTATCTATTTTTGTGGAATTCTTCAGCTATTACTTTTTTACCTTATCTACTTTCTTCTTTTTCAGCCCGTTACTAATCTCTACCGCTTGTTATATATGCATTATAAGGCGACTTTTTATGTCCAGGTTTATGGTGCAGCCAGGGAGGAAAAGACGTGCAATCTTCTTGTCCAGCATTGTCTTGTGCACCTTCTTTCTATGTTTTGGTCCAGCCAATATCCTGCTATTAATGCAACTCTTTTTTCCGCCTGAAGAGCTTCAGAACATCTTTTTTGCCCATATGGTCAGTCTTTCCCTGAGTGCCCTCAATTGTTGCTTCGACCCCTTAATCTACTACTATGCCTCCTCAGAATGCCAGAGGCAGATATGGGGTGTTTTGTGCCCTAGAAAGCTGCTTCTGGTTGGAAAAGTTAGTCAAACAAGCAGCAACATAGTACCCTCTCCCAAAGGCTTAGACCCTTCATTTCCCATTTAGTGTTTTATTGCTGTATCTACATAATGCATGGATTGATAATATCACAAGTGTGAATCTAAATGTTCAATGTCCTATGGGAGCTTTTTCCTATGCACGGAGTTCTCATGATAAACAATTGAGAATCTCTTTGAGAGCCGCTTTGTGGCTGTGGTGGCTGGCCACAGGCTGCCAAAAAGTACCGGACGTCACAGAAAAAGCTGCTGCCGTCGCCAGCATGTTCTTCGTACATGTGCATCCCATTGGACTTGCAAGGCAATGGGATGCACAGGTGCAAAGAACATGGCGGCAATGAACACAGCAGGCGGGGCAAGCGAGCAGCGAATGGGGGACTGGTTTGGGGGTGTGGCCAGCCAGCCATCGCTACCGGTTCAGCAACCTTGGTCAAATTTCCGTCAACAGTTAGCACGAACCGGTGCAAACCGGCTGAATATCACCTCAGGTCATAAGTCAAGGACTACCTGTACTATCTGTACTTAGTACCACAGGCTTTGGGAATTCTAAGAAGTCAAAAACTAATCTTAATTCTCCAGCCTGAAAATGTCCCTGCGATTCATGTAGGCAAAGAAGTCTTTTAAGTGAAAAAAGGATGAGTGATGCTTGGAAGACAGAGCTTATCTACCCAAAATTCCATAGTGGTGGTGGATTAAAGGAGGTATTTCAGGACATTGGTGAGTGGACAGACATCATGAGTGGACAGATATTGTGCTGAAAACTCAAGCTCTTCTATCAGAATAATATCACAACTACTTTCTTAGATTATAAATCGGTGAAAGAGAACTCTGGTATGATAATGGCTAGGTTTTGTATTTCAAGAAACCTATAATTTATTGGAAAGTTCCCTTGCTCTGAACAACAGCTTTTATTCACATTAATCAGCTCACCAATGCAAGGATGTTTGTGTTAACATTGTGCATGTGAATGTAATGCACAATATCACTTTAAATATCTGATTTAAGGTCTGCATTTACAAATGCTTCTGTGACAATAAATGTTATAATGTTGAAAGCAGTGCAAGATTTGTTGTCTCCTTATAATATTTTATTAAAATGATAATAGAGTAAACTCTAATAAACTCTCTTGAAACTGTGGACCTAAGCTTCATAGAGTACATATTAGTTCAATGTTTACGTGGTCTTTATCCTTGATTTTTTACTGGTAGTCCTCAACTTACAATCAGTGGTTTAGTGAATATTTGAAATTACAATGGCACTTAAAAAAGTGACATTACTGTTTTTCACACTTATGACCATTGCAGTATTCTCATGGTCACATGACCAAAATTTGGGTACTTGCGATTGGCACGTATTTATGACAGTTGCTCTGTCCCAGGATCATGTAACCATCATTTGTAACCTTCCCAGCCAGCTTCCAACAAGCAAAGTCAACGGGGGAAGCCAGATTTGTTTAACAGTGATTCACTTAACAATTGCAGTGATTCACTAAAAAACTATAGCAAAAAAAGTCATAAAATGGGACAAAACTCAGTTAACAACTGCCTTACTTAGCAACAGAAATTTTGGGCTCAATTGTGGTCGTAAGTCAAGGAAGACCTATTGTCTATATCAGTGATGGCTAACCTTTTTTGCCATTGCGTGCCAGAAGTGTGGGGGGGGGTTTGCGAGTGTGCATGCCCACACCCATAATTCTATGTGCCCTGCCCCCACGCATTCGCACATGATCACCACCCCCGGTCCCTCCACTCCTGGCACGTGATGGACCAGTAGGCCTGTTTCTCTCCCACCAGGCTCCAGAGCCTTTCTAGGAGTCTGGGGAGGGTGAAAACGGCCTTCCCCACACACACCCCGAGGCCCTCTGGAGACCGGAAATGGCTCATTTGCCAATTTCTGGTGGGACTGGAAGGCCCATTTTTTGCTGTCCCCAGGCTCCAGAGCCTCTCTAGGACTTGATACATCAAGACTTGATATTCTACACAACATTTGATAATTTATATTCTTATTTATAAAGATATGTGATTTGATAATATTTTAATATTATTGGAAAATTAACTGACGAGCCTTCCGCTAAAAAGTACTGAAGAAACTACTGTGCTCTATCTTAGGGATGGTACAGAAGAAAAAGCCGAAAGTAACAATGATGTCAAGAGTTAAGCTTTATCTTTCTCAGGAACCTCAGGAAGAGGTTTCATGTGATTTATCAAACTGTTTTGCTCCAGATCTTGAGCAGGCTTTAGTGGTGCTAAGCTCTGTGCAGTATTTCAAACAAAGCCATTCTAAATATTTATGTTACAGCATTATTGTTCTGGCCACTTAATTTTAAAGCAGTTTCAGCAAATACAGAAACATGCACTGATTATTCATTGAGGTCTACAGCTGGAACAGCTGGATTCTAATCCTTACCCTTAAGTTTTTCCTTTCTTTGGTGGCAAATGTATATACATGGAGATAATTTTTTTCTCAAAATATGAAAGGGAAATCAACTGCTGACTAGATAAATTTACAGAATGAAGAAAAACACATATCATGCAGATTTTCAAGTGTGTATCTATGCTAGATTATATTTTAATCTTTACAATTATCTTTCTTATTTTTACTAGAATTTTTCCTGATATGGAAAATTAAGTACCAAACATCTTGAGAACATTCTCTTGTACAAATAAGGAGAATAGCTGGAAAAGAGAAGTTAAAAGCTATTCAACAACAATCAGATGATTTGAAATAAAGCTTGCAAGGAGAAATTTATAAGCCTGACCTTGAGAAGAAAAGACTTAAAAAGATGTGTACCTCATGGGATCCTTTTTATAGCTTTCTAATATTCCATACTGACTAGGTATAATCATTATTATAAGTAATGGTAATTCTATTGGTAATTCTATCCAAAGTTGATAGATACTGGAGCCCAATAAATCTAGAGACTATTATTATTATTATATAATTATACAATTTGGAAGGGGATTGGTTACGTTTATGATTCAAAGATCATCTGCAGCCATTATGATGCATGCTGGTGTAGCAGAATTGCTATGCAACTGGTTGCCCTTCCATTGTGGTCTTTGGTCAGAGATGATGCAAGTGTGACCTTCTCACACTTTCACTTGAGACCAAATATTCTCAACAATGCAGGTGCAAATGCATGCAAGACAATAGATCTTTATTAAGAGTATTCACTAAACTAAATTTCAGGTAGTGCTTGTATGATCTAAGCAAGTTCAAAATTGCTTTGCTGGTCTTAGAGTGTGAACGAAATGAAGTTCACACACAAACAATTCATTTCAGGAGCAATCCTCCAATTTGGCCCTCAGATCAGAAGAGATAAACCATGTCAAAATTAGGAACTTGAGCTATATCTCCTCTTAAATACTAACATGACTATCTCAGAACTCCATAAAATGGTTAACAGCTTGAATAATAGAAAATCTTATAAAATGAAAAGATACTTGTGTGGGGGATAGAATTGTCAGATGCATCATAGTATACTAGTTGTCCACATGTCAAGCTTAACCCAAAAAAATGGCAAAAAAGTATGTGAACGGTTAAAATATAAAACCAAAATACAATGTACTGTATGCAATAACTGGAGAAAAATGATAGGACAAACAAATAACTAAAATATCAGTCAATAGCTGAACATGAGTATATCCATGTTAGAATAGAATAACAGAGTTGGAAGGGACATTGGAGGTCTTCTAATCCAACCCCCTGCATAGGCAGGAAACCCTACACCACTTCAGACAAATGGTTATCCAACATCTTCTTAAAAGTTTCCAGTGTTGGAGCATTCACAACTTCTGGAGGCAAGTTGTTCCACTGATTAATTGTTCTAACTGTCAAGAAATTTCTCCTTAGTTCTAAGTTGCTTTTCTCCTTGATTAGTTTCTGCCCATTGCTTCTTGTCCTACCCTCGCATGCTTTGGAGAATAGCTTGACTCCCTCTTCTTTGTGGCAGCCCCTGAGATATTGGAACACTGCTATCATGTCTCCCCTAGTCCTTCTTTTCATTAAACTAGACATACCCAGTTCCTACAACCGTTCTTCATATGTTTTAGCCTCCAGTCCCCTAACCATCTTTGTTGCTCTTCTCTGCACTCTTTCTAGAGTCTCAACCTCAACCTTAACTTCAGCAGCTTTAAGATGTGTGGACTTCAACTTCCAGAAATCCCAAGCCAAGATGCTGGCTGGAGAATTTGGGAAGCTGAAGTCCATACATCTTGAAGTTGCTGAGGTTGACAAACATTGGACTATATTATCTGTTTATTCATTATTACAGTACTGTAAAAATTAGATTGGTGTCAGGACCACCTCCGACTCTGACTTTGCCTTGTTCCTTTGATCTCTTCCTGAAAACCTGTGCCTCTTGGAATTCTGCTCCTGGACTTTGAACCAGACTACCACCCATATTTGTTTCTTGAATCTGTGAGTGCTTTCTGACCCAACTTTGCCACAGCTCTGGACTTTTTTGCTTGGATTTCCTCTCAGGCAAGCTGTTCAAAGGGGCTGTGACTTGCATTTGAGGTAACTACACCTTCTATTTATGCTATATCTATTTTCCATCCTGGTAAATTATTACAGTTATATTTGTGTACACATGAATGTGTAGATTGAGACCATGGCAACTGGTCTTTTGGAGAAAACAGAGGTGGATAATAATTGTTGTCCCTTGCCCGCCAATATGTAAGAGGTTGCACTACCAGAAGAATAACAAATAAGCAATAGATTTGGTTTGAAGGAGGAGCACATACCAAGCTTTATTGCAATGTCTGTTGGGTTCTTGCATAACAGGAAAGAGGGCCCCAAAGAATGGAAAAGCAAAGATTTTTGTAGAAGTTGAGGGCTACAAGGCAAAACCCTGCCCAACAAAACATAAGAGGCTGTGCCACCATGAGATGTGGTGGAATGTAGTCTGGATTCCCAGGAGGGAGGTGCTGCTTTCCAGAGAACCAGTGACAGCCAAGTTTAGGTGGTTAGGTCAGGAGAAACAGGATCAAGATAGCTCTTCCCTAGCAGTTCACAGAGTAAACTGTATTTCTAACAATGCAAGAATGTTGGTTTAATTGTATAAGATTTCTATCTATATGTGAGGCGCACTAAAGGAAACTGCTAGGAAGTAACTATGGGTCTTTGTTGGTTTTTGACAGAAGAACCAATAAGTGAAGAGATAACTTCATGATAAGAACTCTTTGTTTACCACTTTGGAGTGGCAATGGCAATATTTTAAACTACATATATATTTATTCCTAAATTACACTTAGAAGAAATTAAGATATTTCTGGGCAGAAAGAATGTGGGTTCTAGTTTTGGCAAAGTCAAGTTGTTGGCCAGAAGGTTGGCTAGGTACAGGCACCCAGAGTGAACATGCCAATGTCCTGGGCAGGATCTGGAAGGGTTTTGGGAGGGTGAGAGTCCCCCTGTTGCTTCCAACCTCCCCTTCTGGTCCTTAGATCTCAATCCATCAATCAGTGGAGTCTCTGGCTTCCAACTGCTGTTGCTGAGTTTCAGGCCTGCCTTTAATAAAGCTTCTCTTGGCAGCCCTGACATTACTGAACCCTGATCAGAGGGAAAGGTCTCCCTCTTTCAGAAAGGGAAGTGGGAAATTAGCATTAATGATTTTAGTTTTGACCTCCGGATATTTAGGAATACTTTTACTCATTATATTGCTTCATTCAATGTTTTCATCTCAATTATGTAGTAGGGTGCGGTATGTATGCCATTCAGGGTCAGCAGACTGGAGCTGCCTATAAGCCCAATATATATTTATATATATTTAACTGCAATTCTTTCCTCACAGCTTTCCTAGCTGTTGTAACAAACTATCATTTTTTGTTTTTGTTTTTTAATCTGCACATGCAAAGGAAACAAAAACATGGTTCATTTCCTTACCAGTGCTTTATAGTGCCTTCTAGAGTTCTGCCAACAAATTATTTCTGTGCCAAAGTAACAGTAATACAGACAGACTTTTATATAACTTCAGTAATGGCTGGGGGATGTTCTACAGACATAATAAGTCACTTGTGTGAAAAAGATCTTCAGTCTGGCCAAACCACTGAGACA